GTGTTAGGCTGACGCGGTTAGTCCTTCCCCAAACCTGCCTTCTCTGTCTTCCTCATCACACGCTAGGCTGCTTCTCCGTCTCCTTTGCAATGGTCTGTGGCCACAGGACTAGGCTCTGGCTAAAAGACTCTGAATGCATATCATTTCCGCCCTGCTGATGGAAACATCTCATGGCGTGGTCTCCAGGTGCTTTCCTTTTTTGCAGGCATAATGCTTTCAAATACGGCGAACTTGAAAACGGCAGAGCCAAAAAGAAGAAAGAAGCCTGGATCCTCGGGTCACCTTGTGGAAGGCTGCCTGCCTTCTGTGAGTGCCAGCGATGTGAACCCAAACAGATTCTATTGGGTTGCCATTGACGTTATGCGCTACGCTTATTTCATTCTATAGGCTGGCATCGCCTTGACCAATCCGCACGTTTCCCAGTGAGGGGGAAAACGAGAGTGCATCTACGGAGTCCGTGGTTTAAGAATTTCTGGAAGTTTCCGGCGTACTTGCCATGCTCTGTAAAATACGCACAATGTTTTCATTCCACTTCACAGAAAGGCTTTCTTTACAAACGCTCTTCGGGGGCCTTCCTTATTAAAAGAGGCCAGTTTTTAGAAACCACTACTTAGCGTTTTTCGGAACTTGTTATCCTATTCAGCAGAGTCCAAGTCGGGAGGCTCTGCACTCGGACAATTACTGCTCTTGATTAGCAACAAGAACTGATGAGTTGGCCTTTCCAGTGTGCTAAGCAAGCTCAGCCAAGCAGAAAATATCACTGAAGGGGAAACAACAGGAAGTGATTTTCTTGGTTACATTAGCGCTGTTGCGATATTTACACATGTTTGTGGATGACGGGGGAACCTCCGCTGCCGCGTGCCCTTCCAGACGACACCGCTGATCTTCCTCCGAACCTGCCCACTTTCCCGCGACTGAGGGACCAGTGTCAGGCCTAGAAATGGGAGCACTGCTCTAGTCTCACACTCTCAGACAGCTCAGGGGCAGCCTGGTGGACATTTCTCTGTACTGTCTCCAGCACTGACAGGACCTCTGTCCTTTTGCAAACAGTGTCTGTGCTGGGTGAGGTGGCTCACCTGTAACGCCTGGAAGGTTGAGGCAGGAGGACCGTCAGGAGTTCAAGGTCAGCCTGGGCTAAAGTGAAATCCCATTTTAAACAACAAAACAAAACAATAAATAACCCTGCAAACTTGAACTATGCCTTGAATCACAGGCTGAGCTTGAACTGAGAAGCGGTTCGTGTCCTTTTGTGAATGAGCCGTGTGTGTCTTCGACCCATTTTTCTGTTGAGTAGGAGACTATCCTCATATTTCACATATAAAATTTTTGTATATTAAGGGCAGTGTATCTTTTCATATTTCTTAGATTTAGTTAACCAACCACCGATCTATTTGCCTTTGCATTTTGCTAAAAAAATTTAATCACATATAAAATCTTATCTGTATTATATAGTATTTATATTTCAAATACATTACTCTTTTCTTTTGAGACTTTTCTATCTCTTTTTGGGCTACAAAGTCATGTTTCACCCAGTACCTATAACCCTACTAATTTTATAAAAAATTGTAAAGTAACCCCTTACTTAGTCCGGCAGATGCTGGATTAAATGTAGGTGTGAGGAAAGATCTTTCTGGAGGCCGTACTGGAGAGCTAAGAAGTGGAGGTGGGTGGTGGGGCAGAAGTCTCCAGCACAGAAAGCACAGTCTAGTGGGTAGACACAGTGTGAGACATGCCAAGGACGGCTGGCGTGTGACGAGCGAGCCCAGGCTGGACTTGGGTCTGTGAGTCTCTGTAGTCTTGGGTGGGGTTGTGGACAGTTCCCCAGATTCTCATCATCCTGCTGGCAGAGACCTCAGAGGGATCCTGTCTCTGTGCATCTGCACACACACACCTTGATCTCGGCCCCAGACTGAAGGAAAACAAGTCAGCCAGTCACCCTGTGTGTAGTGCTGAAGTTACTCAGCCTTGAAAACAAATACAGAAGGAACTCTCTTTACTAAACGCCCTCAGGGTTGGCCTGAAGCAGGGCTTGAATCCTCCTAGCATCAGGGGAGAACAAGCCAAGAATAGCTTTGTTGATTTCAAAAAATTATATAAAGATCGTGTACAAGGCTTACTCCCGGAAGAAAAAGAATCAGGACGTAGCAATAAGCAAACCGAAACCAAATCCGATCAGTTGGGGTGTTAATGTCTCTAGCAGTCTGAAACCACGATGGCTATGTCTGCTGTAAGGAGGCTTCTGGGTACCAGCGTACCAACCACTCCACTTCCTGGACTTGGCAGGCCAAGAACCTCTCCTAAAGTCAGCTCTGGCAAGCAGGCCTGAGGTCCCCCTCCCCCCACATAGCCATGTGACAGATATGCTTGTTTCTCCCTGTCTCTGCAGCCCGCTGAGGAGGGGCTTCAGGGCCTTCCTACACCTGCCACCTCCCTACTGCTTAGGCAGCCTGACCTGCTAGGAAATGACATGAGCCCAGGTAACCATCTTTTTGGGACCACAGTCAGGTTAGCTATGAGTCTGACATACAGAGCCTCAGAGGGTAGGACCCCAGTGCACAGGGGTAAGCAGTCATTTCCCTGTATGCAGCCCCTACCAGGGTCTAGTGTGGAGGGAATCTGAGAAATGAATGGACCTGAGGTGTCGCCTTGCTCTTCAGACCCCAGTATCCCTCCTCCTGCTCTGTGGTTGATGCCAAGTGGAGAGAATTTCAGGCTGGCTGGCACGTATGCCCCTAGATTTATTACTTTTCTTTTGCTGTGACATGAGAAGAAGGATTTACTTTGGATCTCCGTTTCAGAGGGGTCAGCACCTATTAGTTTGGTCCCCTGCGCTTGGGCAGCACACCATGGTGGCAGGATCATGAGGCAGAACCAGTGAGTTCACATGCTGGCCCAGGATGTGCAGAGAAAGGGGCAGGGAAAAGGCAATAATAACAGGCTACCAAAGACCCACCCCTTTCCTCCATGAAAACACCAGAACCATGCAAAAATGTGCATGACCCGGAGACAAAACTTCCGAACAGCAACTTGTGGGAAACATTTCCAATTCAATTACAATCACCCTCCTCTCCTGGGGGCTTTGTCCCTCTCCTCCATTCGGCTGTCATGTGGGGCTACACCTGCCCTGGCTATCATAGACACACAGCAGGTGCAAGGTTTCTGTCCCCAGGGAAGCAGAAGCAGGAGCCTTGGTGGCTCCCTCTCTGGGATACCTACCCCCAAACACAAGCGCTTCTCTCTCAAGTTGGTGCTCTGAGCCCGAGGTTGGGAAGGAAGAAGAGCTGGGCTCTTGCACACTCATCCCCCTTTTCCCTCCCCGAGGAATCATCTTCATCGTCACCATCCATTGCAGAAATGAATGGAGGCCACGAAGGCAGCTTTATTAAATATGAATGAGTCGCAGTCCATGGCCCCCACATGGTCACTCGCCCACTCCATCTCTGGCAATTACTGAGTTACACACACTGTGCCAAGGGGCACAGCGGTCCCCGCCTGCCCTTGCAGACTGACAAAGCCCGGCAGGGGCATGACTCAGGTCTACAGCTGCCCTGCCCCTTAATGGAAAAAAAAAAGCTACCCCTGGTTCCTGTGCAGCCCAGCTGCTCAGTTCTAATGGCTCAGAGACAGGGTTTTCCTCCCAGGACTGAGGAGTCTGGGCACCAAGCTCAGGCCAGATAGAGCTGTGCTTTGGAGACTAGGGACGAGGTATTCTGGTGTGAGAGGCTTCTGAGCTGTCAGCCCCAGGCACTTCAGGTTTGAGGAGACTCGGCCTGGGTTAAGGTCAAAAGCATAGGTGCAGGCGTATGCCCCTCACTTAGTAATTCAGCTGTGTTTACTCCATGCTCCAAGCTACCAGGTTATGAGTGTGATGTGAGCGGGGTTCTTGCTCGCTCTGGGGTAGAGGAGATGCTCAGTCAGTTGTTGATGAACAAATGGAGCAGACGATGTGGGTAGTCCCGGTTATCTCTGCGTTGAAGAAGCAGAGGTTAGTGAGCTTAGCGAAGGCTTCCATGCCAACGAGTGACACAGTGAGTGTGTGTGAGTATGGGCTGTGAGTGTGTGAAAGAGTGTATGTGAGTGTGTGTCAGTGTTTGAGTGTGAGTGTGTGAGAATGTGTGTGTGTGTGAATGTGTGTGTGCGAGAGTGTATGTGAGCGTGTTTGAGTGTGAGTGTGTGAGAATGTGTGAGTGTCTGAGAGTGTGTGCGAGAGGGTATGTGAGCGTGTCAGAGTGTTTGAGTGTGAGAATGTGTGTGAGTGTAAAGAGTGTGTAAGGGTGTGTGTGTGACAGTGTATGTGTGTATTGCGAGTATGAGTGTATATAAGTGATATATGTATATACAGTGTATATCAGTATGTGTGAGTGAGTATATGAGTGTGTGAGAATGTGTGTTATGTAAGTGTGTGTGAGAGAATGTGAGTGTGTTGTGCAAGAGAGAGTGTGTGTATGAGTGTAAGTTTGAGTGTATGTGAGTGTGTGTGGCAGGGACTATCACCCTTCATTGCACAGTCTGCCCCTTCTGTCACATGTACGGTCCTATATACTGGGTGTCGAAATTTGTTTCTGACCCCAGTTTAACCAAGAGCCATGAAGCTGTTTACCATGCCAGGGGCTTTCCTCAAGGTTGGCAAAGACCGTGTACGGATTAGTAAAAACAAATACAATCAAATCCTTTTTCTCAACTTAAAAAATTACTTTTATTTTAGGAACCAATAAAATTATGGCAAATATTTACAAATAATTATCTCACATAAAGGTTACATAAAATCAATTCTTCACAAGAAACAGTCACTTATGAAAAGACACAGATATTGAGACTACGCCAACCTTATTGCATGTTTCTCCAGCTAATTTAAAATAAAGGTGTTGCAATCAACCATTTAACTTAAAATAAAACCACAAATCCCAGGTTTGACGAGAAAAAAAAGTTTAAAAAAAATTAAACCAGTATACCATCCCAGTGTCCTCCCAAGTCCCACCCGAAGCCCCGCCCTTCCCCCAACAAAAGAAAAATATGTCCAACATCTTTGGCAAATTGGCACTGCTGTAATTACATTCAAATATTATCACACACAAAAGCAACACACATCACTAAGAAAAAAAACCACCAATATTTCAAGTCAGTTCTACTAGAAAAAAAGAATATAAAACATACACACTTTTAAGAAGCTTTTTGTTTCTCAATCTGTTGGAGACAGATCATCTCCCACTTTCAAAGGCAATTCAATTGTGTGGTTGTATTTATTTTTTTGTCGTTTTTTTTTTTTGTATGTTTTTTTAACAAGCGTCTATGCAGGCATCACAAACTTTGGCGGATACAGCAGATATGCATTTCTTTGATGCTGGGCCAGTCCCTAGGACAGTGTTAACCATCTAAAAGAATGAGAAGCAAAACTCACTTGTCTTCCTGGCAGAGTTCTATCGGAATGTCATCTACATCCCCACAAATACTCAATGTCCAGAGGCCACTAGAGGGTGGCAAACCAGGGCAACATCGTCCAGCAGGAGTGTGGGGGCGGCCCTGTAACCAGGCAGAGAAGTAGCATGCTGGCCACAACAGGTCCTCATGCCCATTACCTACATTGTGCTGGTGGCTTGGGCCTGGGGCCAGCTCTGTCCCTCTCTGAGCCCCACGGACAGACTGCTGCTGGATCCACTCACCTTCTGTGACCAAAGGCAAGCAGAGCCAGCAAGAACTGGCATCGGGAGACACAGCAGCTCTTCTGAGTTTCATGTCCTAGTATTAGAGAGAGGGTGTGTGTGTGTGTGTGTGTGTGTGTGTGTGTGTGTTAGAGAAAGGTCTGTGTGTATGTGCGTATGACTGACGACTGTGTGAGTGACTTGTGTGTGTGAGTGACTGTGTATTGAGACTGTGTACATGTATGTGTGTGTGTGCTTGTGCGTGTATATGTGTGTAAACTCCCCTGTGTCCATGCACTTGAGCACACGGCATGGAGAAGAAGGCCTGACAACGAGGCTCTGAGTTTTGCATGATGTTTAAAATAGATTTGGGATTTATTTTCTTTTTAATTTTTAGCAGTTAATTGGCTACTGATCGGTTGGAATGTCCAACTCTCCATTCTCTCAAATCCAACGAAATAGTTTCGTTAAAATGTCTCATGCTTGAAAACAAGGGGGGCCATTAAATAGTTTCCTTTCTGTTCCACTCTAAGTGAAATGCGCCACTTGTCAATCAAAAACCCATCGTTACATGTTCTCAAGATGAGAGGACGAAGGATGTGCCATCTGCATGGTGGTTTGGGGGACTACACCCCCATGTGCAATTTAGCAAGCGAGTGAACCAGGTCGGGGCAAGTGAGACTACAGGCTGGTCTCCTGAAGTCAGGTCTTAGAGACAGCAAGAGACACAACTGCTAAGTCTCTAACCTTTTGCTAGTTTCCCTTGCTCCCCTCTCTGCCCTCTAACCAAAGTTGTCCAGGCTGAGCCTGGTCCCAACCGAGAGCTCACCAGCATGCCATGCCATGCCCACAATGAGGACAGGAACAGCAGCTTGGTGCTTGCTACTCAGGAGACTAAGGTGTAGGCAGAAGAATCTAGAGGTACTAAAGGGTGGCTGCGTTCAACCTCATCTGGAGGTGACACCCATGAATGGCAGTGATCAGATATGAGTACCCCATTGGTCCTAGAAGGGGCCAGGAACTGGGCCTCAGTACCAAAGACAAAAAGAAAGATGGATGCCTGCTGTTCCCAGCGTGCAGCTCACTCTACCTTCGCTGCATCTGTATCCAAACAGCACCTGTGCAAGGGACTCACTAAGTGTTCTGCAGCTGGCCCTTGGGGACCCGGCTGCCACTGCAGGAACAGCCTTTAGCTGACAGCAAGAAAGTGTAGATCAACTCTGTGGCTCCCTCATGAATATGCAAAAGGGAATCTTGAGGTCCAGGGACAACAAGGGCCAAGGAGCTGAAGGGGCCACTGGGAGGTAGGGCAGATGGAAGGCAAGATGTCGTGGCCTGACTGTCCAAGTCTGCAATCATGTGTTTTGTTTCCTTTTAAGAAATGCACATGCCTTGGACCTCTTGGAGGTTAAAGCGATAAAGGAATAAATTTACCCAGGTGCACCACCATGTGCCTGAAAACTATCACAGGCAGACTCCAGATGGGTGACAAGGCCAGGGCCACCAGGGAGCTGGTCTAACTCCGAGACTTATGGGGTCAACCTGCTCTAGCCTGGCCTGGCCTGTGCAGGGGTCTCCCGGGAGACCGCGATTCCAATGCCACTTGTTCCTAGTGTATGCTTGGGAGTGCTCAGTTTGTTTTTAAGATTTGCTACCCATGGCTTGTTGTTAAATTCTAGCTGAAATGTCACCTACAAAGGGGTGGATGGAGCTAAGGCTGCCAAAGGCACGTCAGTCACTCTGAAGTTTGACTGCTTGTAAGAGGATTTTCACTCCTCAACGCCCTGTGGCCACATCTGGGGCTCTACACATAGAAAACCAGAAGCTCCCTCAAACCCACCGCCGCTTCCAAAGTTCTAGAAACTGTTTCTCCCTCCCATCTTCCCCAAGTGTTCTTGAAAGAACAAGGAGAGAACAGAAGGGCTTTCCACAAGACTGGTTCACAAGTTGGTGGCTGACTGGCCCGATTCAGCCCATAGGCATCTTTTTCTTTTGGCCAATAGAGTGTTTTTAAAGTTTTCACTATTGAGATGCCAACCCATGGGCCAATCATGCTCTAGACACCCGGGGATGTACTGTACCCTGCTGCTTTGTTCCCCGCCCAGAGGGTGGTTTCGAACTACCTGACCGGCCTCAAGTATTGCAATCTAGAGAGGGCAGGTTCTAAACCAGGCATCCTTGTATGTTGTCACAGTTTGTTCCAAAGTAGAAAGGGCAGAGAATAGAGAAAGAAAGGGGATGGCTCATGGGACATTCATATTTAGACCCTGCCAGGGACTGTGGCACAGGCTTGGACACATTGTCCTTGGAGCCTCAGGGTACAGCAAGGAAAGGCTTCATGGGAAAACTCAGAGGTGTTTGTGGGAGTTTAGGTAAAGACTGAAAGTGTCAGTGTTGATGGGACCCTTAAGGCCACCAGTCCCCAGACCCTTCCTTTTACTAGACCAACTTTTGGGCTCTGTTCTTTCTTTCCGTGTTGTAGATCTGGGGATTTCTGGAGGCCTCAGGGGTGGGAGTCTTCAAGCCATACACTTCGTGATGGGATCTCAACTCTGTGGGCAAAGAATGTGGTTCAGAGACCAGAGGATTCACTTCATCCTTATCTTCACAGTGAGCCTCGAGTGTCAGGATCTTGGCCTCGTGGGGTAGTGGAGCACTACAAAGCACTGTGCAGTGTCGTTTATGAAGACAGTCTCTAAGCTGGTGACTTAGCAAGGGGACAGTGGGTTTGTTATAGCATCACAAGTTCTCCGGCTGGAGCTAGACAAGTGGTGTGAAAATGTCATTTTTCACAAAGTTCAAACAGGACCGAAGGTCCTTGGAGGAATAGCCCCGCCTTCTGCCACGGTGCTGGTGAAACCCCAGACTCCGTGTTGAGTTCTCTGGCTTGTGCATCTGCAGTGTGAGGGTGTGCTAGCTGGAGAGAGCAGGTATGCAAACGTGAGGACACCCACAATGCATTTGCATCTCTGGAGCTGGCGAGAGCAATGTGTGCATGAGCAGTCCTGTACCTCTGTGCCCTTGTGCTTCTGCCTGGCTTCTCTCCCAGGAACCACGGGGTTGTCTAATAAATACAGACTTCAGTCTGAGGTCCAGCAGCACCTCGAGTGCTTTCCTCGGAGAGAAGAGACATACAGATGGAGTTCCTTGTGTGGGCAAGATCAGATGGCGGGGAAGGAGCCACCGTGGGGCGGGGTGGGCTTGCTGAGGAAGGGAGGTGTGTGCACTGAAGGCAGTACAGGGAGGTTGTGCCCTCCAGCAGTTTGGAACTGGGAGGAGCACAGGGTGAGCATCACTATAACAGAGCAGTAGCAGGGACAGAGAAGGAGTGAGGATGGAGCCTCCTCCTACCTTAGCTGACAAAGGAAGGCTGAATGCAGGTCGCTCGTCTCCTGGGGGTGGGCTGAGGCCCCAGCTACCTTCCTCCGCTAGCAAGTTCCCCAGGTGCTAAGCCTGCTCCAAGCTCACGTGCCTTGCGTTTAGCTTGGGGACAGGGATCCTTGGCAGTTCTCCCAGTCCGGAAGCCTGGTCTGGAGTACTGGGACAATGGTACCCCCTGCCATCTTCACTGCCACCTTCTCTTCCAGGTAGATGGAAGTGACAGCCACCACCATGTGTCAGAAGGGGCCCAGGTCCCAGCCCTGCCTCTGCTGGGACTCCACTTTACTGAGCCTCAATTTCTTCTTTTGTCTTACTACCCTGTGGGAGGTATTGAGGCACAAAACAATGCGGGGTTGCAGGGGATGGGGTTCTGTTTGGTCTCCCTGTCTGATCCTGGGCTTCCCTAAACTGGGCCCCAGTTTCCTCTCAGAACTAAACTAGATCTTTTTGAGACTCTGTGGTTCCCATTCTTGTTTCACACTTGATTGGATCATTAGCAAGATCCCATATGCTTGCTCAAAAGTGAGGGCCTGACCCAGGTGACACTGCCATCACCTCAGCTCCCTGGGAGGAAGGGAGGAAGGGAGAGAAGGAAAAATAGTGAGATCGGCCAGCTGTCAACCCAGCAGAAGCTCAGAGAGGTAAAAGGTCTGAGGTTCCACTAGACAGCAGACCCTAGGGACACTGTCAGGGAAATGACTGCTTGCTGTCCTCAGTTGAGACAGGGGTTCTTCTCTGCAAGAGGGACCGTGTGAAGAACAGAGGTCCCAGATGAATGAATTGTGTCACTGGGAACCCCAGACTCAAGCCCACCCTCAAATTACACACCCCCGGCTGGTTCCTCATTGCTTGTCCCGGCCCTCCCCAGCCCTTCCTCTGTCTCCCACATATTCCTCCACCTTTCTCACAGCAAGTTCCATCTTGACACCTTTTACAGACAGGCTGACCTGCCACACCCCCACCACCTCCGTGCCCAGCCACACTTTGTGCTTCCCAAGGGTGGCAGGGCTGCTTGCGAGGAAGCCCAGGTCCTGGCTGATGCCCGCAGAATGTGCTGGTCCTCAGTGCAGACATCAGTCCTTTCTGTTAGCCACTGTCCCTGTGGCTGGGACAGGCTTGCCCAGAATCCAGTTGTTGGGGTCCCAAAGGACAGCTGTGAAGTGCCCATGGCTGATGTCCACAGTGACTTGAACTTGGGCATGCCTTGGAAAACACGTTCAGTTTGGTTCCAGGGGCCAGAAGGACCAGGAAAGCCTCAGGCGTGTCCCTAGTCTGGGTCCAGTGATCTTTTGATCCAGAGAGCCATCCAGAGTCACAATGCCATCCACACTTGGACGACCTCTTACTTTAGGAGAGCAGCTGTCCCAGACAGTTCTCTTGGAGTCCCTGGATTAAGAAAACGACTATTGACGCTGTGGTGACTCTGTGGAAATGAAGGTAAGAGGCCAGGGCGTCTCCCCGAGGTGTATTTCTCTTGGGAGGAACCTCGGGAAGCTTACGTCATGACTGCCAGTGAGCCTTGTAGATATCAGAGAAGTGGAGTGAGCTCGTGGCCAGGCATCCTCCAGGTGGCTGCTGTCAGTTTCAAACACAGCTTTGAGTTGGAGCACTGACAGAGCCCCAGGGCAGAGGGGGGTGTTCTGTGCAGAGCTGGAAGATATCCTGTGATGCATTGTGGGTAATCTGCTCTGTTAGACCCTTAGGTCCACAGAGAAGCAAGAAGGTATTTACATGGGTGCTGTGAAGCCAGCTGGCCTTTCCAAGACTGGCAGACGGTCAGGAGGACTGGCAGGCTGGGCTTGGCCGCAACGGTCTTCAGAAGAGCAGAGAAGCCTGTCACCCCTGGGAGAAGCTCGTCAAGATTGACTCTTGAAATGGATGAGAACCCAGAAGTCCAACAGCCCTACCTGGATCCGGGGCAGGAGAAAATGGAGGGAGGGTGCTCCAAGTGTGTGTGGGATGGGGTGGGAGACGGATTTGTTGGGTCCCTCTGTCTGTCTTGGGAATTGGGAAGCTGTCTACCTCAATGATATGCATGGTGAGAGTTGGTGCACATGGCTCTGAGGGTCAGTGGCGGTCGTAGGCGGTGGCTGCGGCAGGTGGCGCAGCTCCTCGGGCTGCGGCGCTGTAATAGTATGGGGATCCTGAAAGAGACGAGAGGGCACAGAGGTCAGACCTGGGGGTCCCCTTCCCACTAGTCTCCCCACCTCTGTCCCTGTTGCTCTCTCATCCGCTCAGGCCACTGTCCGCTTCCCTAAGACCTTTGTCCTAATCTTTTCCCTAAACTGCCAGTCTGATCAGGGCTCCCCAGAATTGCATGTAGACGGAAGCCCCTGGTTTCCGTCCTGGCTGTGGCACATGATCTTTCCTTCCTTTTGTGTGGATTCTGGCTCCTTCCAAGACATTGGGAAGAACTGGGTAGCTGTCCCTATGGACCACAAAGTCTAAAATATTTAGTGTCTGGACTTGGATAAAAATATCTTTAAGACCTTACCTACAAGAGTAAAAGGGTTCAGGTTTTTGTTTGATTGACAAGCCTTGGCCAACCTCTTTGGACTTACTGGCCACACTTCCCATTATTCCCAGCCATATTCCATACCATACCCAAAGTCTGAGCCTGACGCTATCATCTACATGGGTCATCTCATTCAACTGTAGGGGCAGGGCCAGTGACCCCATCCTAGCAGACGCAGGACCCCTGCCTCTGGTTCCTGGCCCTATACTCCCACCCTCTCTTCTGTCTAGGCCTCCTTCAAGTCCTTGGCCCTGCCCTCTCCTCTGGGGAGACTCTCCCTTGAGCTCACTTTCCTCCCCAGGTTGAGTCACACACTGTGGCCACCTCTCTCTTTGGTGTGTTTCCTCTATCTTAGGACAGAGAATACTGAATAGGCAAGGACTAGACTCTGGTCTTCTTAGCATTTGCCCCAAGTTCCCAACCCTGCTCAGGGAGGATTCTGGTATGAAGGCACAATGGTCCCTGAGCGAGCAAGCAGGAGTGGAGAAACCCCATGGCCACCCTGTTCGCTCCCTTCCTGACCTCAGTGGAGGCAGGGAGGGGCAACAGCGGAGAGCCACTTATTCAACATGGCCGGACACTCAGAGCTAAGGGGAAACTGACCCACACATGCTGGCTTGCATGTGCCAACCAGGGCTTAGGAGCCCGAGGCAAGGAGACTGCCCAGAGGTGGAGGCCAGCCTATGCTGAGACCCCGCCTCGGGGAAAAGAATTTAGAAAGGAGTTTGTGCCCTGGGGAGCTGGGCTTTCAGACAAACTCTGGTGACTACTGACAGAAGTGGGATTGGCCTGGGCTCAGGCATGCGTGTGGACTTGGACATGGGCATGAACGTGGACATGGGCGTGGACGTGGACATGGAGCAGCTGCAGCAGTGTATGTGGGGTGAAGCCTCTTCCTGTCTGTACCAAAATTCTTCTCCAAGGACCTGGAGCTGAGGCTCCAGGGACCTGGGAAGCTGAAGATCCAGGGACCTGGGGAGCTGAGGCTCCAGGGAACTGGGGAGCTGAGGATCCAGGGATCTGGCTGGATTCTCAGAACCACAAAGCTTCAAATCTTTCATATCAAGGAGACAGATGTTCAGCAATATAAAAACCCACTCACATCACACCTCAGTGCTGAATCCTGGGCTTGAAAAAAGGATGTGTGTCCTTGGTGAGGGCTTCATCCACCATAACACAGCTCTAGGTCAACAGCAGAGCGACTGACTCTTTGCAGCTGATAGAAGTTGGGGTCCTATCAGCCGGTCTTATTGGGGTGGGCCTAATGGGCTGAATTGCCAGAAGAACGGGCTTGGAATTGTTCTGAAGTCTCATTCAAATCCAACCAACCCTGACTGGGTCTCCCCATTACTGGGGGTGGAACCTGACCATTCTCCCGGACACCCTAACTGGGGGCGAAGCTGTGTGGTTTTCTTCACAGGCCCAACCGTGTCTTGGTGGAAGGCCATGACCAGGTGGCTTTGCTCCCCTGAGCCTCAGTTGTGTTCCTCTTTAAAAAGGGGTCACAGGGGGGCAAATGTGAGGGCACCCTGAAATGAGGGTGTGATGATGCTGTGGAAATGCCACCTTCTAAGGACTTACACCCGTTAACTTTTATCTGGTAGGAACTATGATGGTTTTATGGGTGAGGACACTTGTTGAACCACAGACAGCTAGCATGCCATAGAGTTAGAGGACACAAGCATCCTGACTTCCTTCCATGCTCCGCCTCACAGGCTGACCCACTCTTGCCCCTGACTCAGGAAGACAGGGTAGCCTCAGGCAGTGAGAGTGTGGTGGCCTCTCCTGGCTGTTCCCTGAGGCCCAGGCAAGGGTTGCACACCCGGGAATCGCCCAAAGGCATTCTCCTGCTGCCTCCAAGGTCACATCCCTATTCCAGACCTGACTCTTTCCTCTGTGGGATGGGGCAGCAACAGGGTGGGGGTGGGGTTCATTCCCTGCAGGTCTGGAGATTGCATGAGGATATGAAAATCATGGGGGCTATATCCACAAAGGGTCTACCAGGGGCAGGAAGTAGAAGGAAAGACGCTCTCTCTAGCAGCCCTGCGGTGAGGTTTCCAGGTCTCTCACAGCTCTGTTCGCCCCTCAGGGCTTAGCCAGCCTGGGTGGCAGCCTCGGCTGAGGGTTTGATTTACCACAGAAAATGAAAACATCACCTCACAAAGCAGTCTGTCTTCCTGGCACCCATTAGACCTCCATCTAGAATAAACTTGTCCTTCTTTCTGTCATTTTTCCCCCCTAATTCACATTATCATCAATTTACCTCTTGACACAGCCATTCCCAGCCGGCTCAGGGCTGGTTCCCTCCCTAATCCCTTTACAGCGGCCACAGGCGCCCCTATTCTAATCCTAATTGACCATGGCCTGCTTTTCCGCTGCCAACCCTGCCAGCTCTGCTTGCCTCTGCTGCCCCTTTGCCAGCCTGGGGGATCCCACAGGATGGGGGAACCCATGAGATGAGGTGCTGAGGGTAGCTGTCAGCCCTCACTCTGGCTGTTTTGGTAAAGGAGGCTTCAGCCAGGCCAGCTTGGGGTACCGGGGAGCCTGTGTAAGGCTGGTCTGAGTGGGAAGAGTGAGTTGTGATATATGTCTTCAGGGGCTCACCCGAGCTTGAGGAAACACAGGCCAGGCCCCCACATTCCTGGCTTCTTTCACCCCAGACTGGGTCTTTCTGTGGCAGGGCCCATATGATGGGAGCGTGGGAACAGACCAGAGCTATTTGCAAACAGGATCCCTATGGAGTCAGAGCACTGGGCCTCAAGAGCTTCACGTTCAGTGCCGGTGAGAGAGGCTACCATGGTAACCAGCCTCATTTCATCCCCAAGCCAACTGAGGCCCAGGCGGGTAGGTGGCCTGGCGGATCGAGTCTTGTATCATGTTGCAGACCCACACGATTCCCACTCCTCCTATGTTGGCACTTTTCCTGTGGCACAGGCCTGCCTCTGGCTTGTCCTCCTGGCTTCCCTTGCTGCTGGGTCACAGGCATTTTACTTGAGAGCTACCTATTAGACTCTGTTGTGTTGGACATTGATGGGGAAGGAAGCACCTTCAGGAAGTGGGCTGGGGGACGCCATTTACTAGAAACAGGTGTCAAAGGCCTCTGTGCCTGAACGGTGGTGGGGAACAGCTCCCGAGGCTGTCAAGCACCTAAGGAAAGCTGCCTCCTGCCAGCTGGCAGCCATGGGGTGCTTACAGCAGAGCAACCTGGTCATGCCTCTGGGTGTGTTCCTGGCTCTTGTCCCATGCCCGTTTATCGAGTCTGCCTGGAGATCCTGGGAGCCTCTGATGTCCTTCACTAAATATGTTTTTACTTAAATTAACCAGAGTGAATTCTGTTGTTTGCAATTATAAGTCATTAACCTGGCTCTCAAAACCAGCCGGCTGTCCTCGACACACACAAGGCTTGAGTGTGGAGGGCTCTCACCTGTGTCTGCAGGGACCTAAGGTCTCCTTCCAATTGTAACTGCCCAGCCTGAATCAGTTAGGGAACTTGAGGGAGCTCCATCACACACTGCCTAAACATACAGGCTCTGGAGTCAAGGAGACACCTCCTCTGACACCTGCCCACATGTGACCTGAGGTGAATGAGTCTGCTCTTCTCCTCCACTCTCAGAGACAGTGGGGTGGCTCCCATAGGGCTTTGGAAAGGATAAAATGCGATGACCCCGCACCGCATTTTCCCGGTGCTAACAGAACTGTAGATAATCAGTCTTGATTCTGTTTCAGCCCTTTTCTCTAGTCCCCCCGAAAGCCCTCAGCACCTAGCACAGGGGCACCTGCTCCAGGCTCCCTCACCCCTAGCCTGTAACATCACTGGACAAAGCCTGATGTTATGGGCTGTGAACTGGCTTTTATCAGACTTGAGCAGAAAAGGCCCCCAGTGCCACCCCTCTGGACAAGCCACAGCCCTGCAATCTGTTCCCAGCTTCTCAGCCTTGTTCAAAGTCCCTCATTTGTGCATATTTCACAACTACCTCAACTCCTATACCACCCCTGGGTGGGTTTATCCCCGCTGCTGTGCTCCTTAAGCCCCCAGAAGGGAGTATCACTGCTAATCACTGATGTCATGTAGAAAGCACACAATGGTGACTCCTCTTAGCAGGGCTTTGTGCAACCATGGGCTGGATTTCTGCCCTTCTCGTGTTCCCTAGGCCAAGAAGTCCTGCGTAGCAGCCCTGGGTCAATGTGGCCTTAGAAAGCCATTCCCACGGGCCCTGGACCTCTTTGAGACACACTCCCTGTGAGTCTCCATATAGAATTAGGATCAGGGCTCAGCTGGAAGGAAACCAGATCTCATGAGAGTCTCAGAGTCTTTTGTAAGGCAGGCTGGGCCTCTCCCTCACACGGAGCACCAACTGCCCATGCTCCTATTTCATCCACAGGTGTGCATGGCACACCAGAATGCTAGGAGCAGTCCAGGGTTCCAAGACCATGGCCCATGCCCAGCTCAGGCGGTAGTGAGAAATGTGGCATTTGTACCATCTCTCTGTCTTGTTTTGTTTTGTTTTTTGACACGGGTTTCTCTGTAGCTTTGGAGCCTCCCTGTCCTGAACTAGCTCTTGTGGACCAGGCTGACCTCGAACTCACAGAGATCTACCTGCCTCTGCCTCCCGAGTGCCGGGATTAAAGGCATGCGCCACCACCGCCCAGCTCCACGTGTCTGTCTTAATCACACCAGAGTGGGGAAGGAGTCAAGGCTAAGACTTTACAGGCCTAGGGTTTGGAAATAATTAAGGATCCGGGGAATTCATGGGCTCTGGCTGAAGGAGGCCTTGTTAACATGGAAAGATAGGCCTGAGCAGTCTCAAATGCTCCTCCTCTCTCCACTCACTGCCCGAAGTAGAACACCTTTAGCTGACTATAGGAGTGAGATCGGTACTGTAACCTGCAAGCTGACTGGCTGGTTCTACCTGCTAAGGGGTTAAAGGGTGAAATCTGTATCCGGGACCTCTGTTTCAAGTTACTCCAATTTTGGTGGATACTCACCTGCTGGCTTCATGCAGGTTTAATTAACAAACCAAAGGGCTCTTCCAAAGCTAGTCCTGCTTGGGGTGTGTGTATGTGTCTGTCTGTCTGTCTGTCTGTGTACAAATACTGATGATATTCACAGACCAGGCTGTTCCAGCCATGGACATTCTCCAGTTGAGTCTTGGATAAAGGTTAGGCACCAGCTGAGCCCTACACAGCATGCCTTGGCAAGCCACAGGGCAGCTGGTTGCTAATAGAGCTGGCACTACTTGTGCCCACAGCAGACATCATTAATCAATCACTGGGCCTCAGAGCCCTTCGTAAGACACTTTTCCAGGCAGCCAGCGCCATTCAATCCAAGTCTGCATTTCAGTGCCTTTTATTTTAGGGAATTTGCACTATATTTAATGGTTCTTAAGAAATACTAATTCCTCATGGGCAAGCATTTTTCTCTCTTCTTTCCTGTCTCACATTCCCTCACTTGAGCTGCAGGGGAATTGACTGCCCTGAGACCACCATAACAGCCCCTATAGTCCACATTTATGGGGCAAATGACCCATCTCACCCCAGTGGCCAGACCTCAGGAGGGACCCTGACCCAATGGAGAAGCCAAGTAGGGCAGCCAAGGACCCAGGTACCCCACAAGACAGGTACTCACCAAGCAGTCCTGGGTTGGGGAACCTCCACGAATCATTGTAGGAAGAATACTGAGGGTGGCTGTAGGGACTCCCAGAAAATTCACTCCCTGCAGTAGGTAGGAAGAGGGACAAACAGGAGACAAACGTGAAATCAGGCTCAGAAAAGGCTGTGGATTCAGGCCAGCTTAAATACTGAATATTGAAGGCACTTGTCTCCTCTAAGGGCTTCGGGCACTTTCGGTAATCAATTATAGCACATCAGGGTCACATCCTCATGCTGTGAGCTGTTTCTCTCACCCCAAAGCACTTTGTATCCGTGGGAATGGAAGGCACGGAGTCACCAGGTACAGGGTGGGGCCTCACTTGGTACACCTGCCTAGGTTTGGTCCTAGTCTGCTGGGCTGTTGGCACCAGCTGAGGCTCCTAAGGGACCCTAGTGTGGGGTTGGTTCCACTCTCCACGACCTCAGCTCTAGTGTGGTCCCCCTGTGCTGTGAACGCAGAGCGACTGTGCCAAGGGCAGTCAGCTGGGCGGGGAATGAGACACAGGCCTCCCCCGTGTCTGGAGAATGTAGACAGCAGCTCTGCTGCCTCGAAGGGATGGGCTAAATGCTTAGGAAATACAACATAGGAAGTAGGCTGGGGTCTTCTAGGCCCTGTGGAGGAGACAGTTGTCCATGCTTGTAGCATGCTCAGGAAGGCATTGTGAACTGCTCATTGGTGAAGGGAGGGTAGGGTGGACCCAGAGGATGATTCACCAAGATCCAGCAACCTGAAGAGCTAAGCACCCACCCTGGCTGGTCCCTGGGTTTTCAGCAGTCCCAAGGGAGTCTCTTTTCTGCCAGCTAGGCCAGGTCACAGCTTCAAATCCTGTTCCCACACTCTTGGAGCAGCAGACTCTGCCCACTTCCTCCTCCCCTTTCCCTACATCTGGGGCCCCAGAGGGCAGACTGCATTCTCAAGTCTTCGCACTGAGTGTCTGAGAGCCTACTGTGTCTAGCGGAGGCTTTGGAGCAGGGCATGGAAAGCCAGCGGGGCACTGAATGGTTTGCTTGAACTCCAGGTAAGGCCCTCCCCTGCTGGAGATGACAGAGGTTACATGGTCCTGGGAGACGCCCTGTGGCCAAGCATGACTCCACTATCCCCCTAAAGGAATGCATAAAGGCTAGAGGGCAAGAGGCTTTGGAAGAGATCAGTCCTCCTCCCAACTCATAGGAAAACCCAGGCAGAGTGTACACACACACACACACACACACACACACACGCACACACGCACACATGCGCACACACACACACTCCTACTCAGGCCTCTCCTGGGGCCACTCCCAGCCTGACAGGCTGAGTCTTCCAATTCTCTGTTTTTTATGCCTCAGTGGTCAGGGTGTCAGGTTCCGGCATACAGAGGGAGAGCGTGGTGACAGTGCTGGGCCGCACAGCCCAGCCTCGGCCTATCCATCAGCGCTACAGTGCCTCCTCCTCCCCCTCTCCCTCTTCCTCCTCCTCCTCTTTGAGAAGCAGGCTGGGGGGAACGTGGAGATATGGAAGCCTGGATAGGGGGACACACTGTCCCTAAGGCTCTGACACCATGAACTGCCCCAGCAGAGGGACGTCCTCATAGTTCCGTGCCTGGTCTATCTCTGATTAGCACTCTATTTCCTACTGCCTGGCCACCTCTTCCAGGAAGCCTCTTTGAGCTCCATCCCCAGTGGAGGGAGTCTCAAGGCCACTCAGCTGGAGTGAGGTGACACGGACCCCTGGAGGCCTGCGAAGGTACATGAGCAGCGTCCAAATCCACTAGGAGTGAGCCTAAGCCAGCAGCACCATGTTCTTCTGCCTGCGTGGCTTCCAGAAGGCACCATTTCCTGCTAGCACAGAGTGCCCTGCATGGCCCTCTAGTGTCTCAGCGGCCTTGCCTTAGGTGCAGTCTGGTCCTGCAGGTCTGTGTCCTGTTTCCAGCAGACAGGGTGCCCAGTAGTCCACTGGTACCCCCATGGAACAGAGTCCCTGAAGCTCTTTCCTACCCTCTTTCTGGGCCCCATGGAGTAAAGGCCCTCCCTGGGATGCTTTCCCTGACCAGCCCACCCTCCTGTCCTGCCATGGTTTATTCCACGGAGCTCATCGTATCCCAACCTGTCTTGTTCACCATGCTCATCTCGTTAATTATCTGTCTCTTCTACAAGTCTGAAAACTCCTTGGGGACAGAGTTTTGTCTGTTTATGTCTCGATCCCAAGCTTCATCGCCAGGCTTGGCAGCCATCTAGCACGCACGGATGACTAATTGTTCACTGAGCGGGTGAGCGAGAAAGGGAACGAATGAATGAAACACCCAGGTCAACCGGGGACAAATCACCGAGTAGGCCTCTCACTTGGACAACGGCCACCGCTTCGTCTTCCATCATCAGCTTCCACAGCCAGGGACCTGCTGTAGCATCTGCTGCAGGCCAAGATGTAAAGCAATTTCTGATCTGTTATCTACCACAGCATCCGGTGCCCAGCAGGAAAGAAAGTCACCGGGGCCCCTACCTGGTGTGCTCAGAGTCATGGTGAGGCGGGCACATGGGTCCTTGTCCTGTGACACGCCCTGTTAGACTAGTACATTCTTGGTAAGGGGAGCGTGGCCATCTCAGAAACATGAGGCTGACCCAGAGGTTATCCAGCCACCTGCTGGGGGCGCTGCAATGGTGCCTGGTTATCTGGCATGCTATACAGTAAGCTAGTGGAGTGTACGGGGTGGAGAAGCCAGGGTCTCACTACCAGGGAAGCTATCCACAGATCTGGTCCATAGAGTACCAAAACTGATTGTGGGACAGCAGACTGACCAGGTGGATGCCAGTCCTTGATCGATTTGGCACAAAGTCTTCATGGGTTCAAATCCTGAGCCTGCCTCTTCAAAGTTCTGGGGCTTTCAATGGATCGCCCAACTCCTCTCTGTACCTCAGCACCTTCTTTGAAAAGTTAGGGCAAGTTCAAAGCTCGCGTGGTACTTGTAGGGCATCCAGAGAAGGCTCAACACATGTCAGCCATAGTGGCATGCTCCTCCATGTCCAGATTCTCACTGAACCTCCCAGCACCCTGTGATGCTCACGGTATTGATAAAGCTGCATCACAGACGTTATTATTCAGGCCAGAACACAGCTCCAAGGCCAGGTTTCTGTCTCCTGGCCTTGAACTTGCTTGTCTTTAAGACACTGTTTTCCCATCCTGGGCCTCTCCTTCCTCATTTGTCAAAGGACAGAACAGACCACATGTTTTCAACCTTCCTAAGGCTGTGACCCTTTAATGCAGCTCCTCATGTTGTGGTGACCCCCAACCATACAATTAACTTGTTACTTCATAGCTGTAATTTTGCTGTTATGAACTGTAATGTAAATATCTTTATATATTTACATATACATTTATATTCGATATAAGGCCCCAAAGGGGTCGGGATCCATAGGTTGAGAACCACTGCCATAGATCCTACCTAGATCCCTGTGTCTTTTAGGTTGAGGACCCCTACCTCCTTACCACCAGCCTGACACTTATTTCTGCTGGAACTTCACAAAAGCAGCTTATAAAGCAAGATATATTTAGCTTAGAGTCCTGGGGCCCTTTCTGGGACCACTGAAGGGTCATGGAGCCCAGCCTTCAGGATGGGTAGAACTCCAACATCAGAGGGAGGCAGGGACTTGGAGCCCAGCTGAAAGCTGGGGCCGTGCCTTGAGGCCAGTCAGCCTGTGAGGTGTGATGGTGAGGTCTTCCGAGAAGCCCCAGCAGAGGCAGCCGCAGAGCCCCTAAGGAAGGGTCGGCACAGAAGGGTTTCCTTTAGCATGTCCCTGGCTGTGCAAGCTACTGACGGAGGTAGGGGTGGCTACAGCGAGGGAACTGGCCATTGTGGGTATAAAACCCTCCTCTAGAGCAGGCTTTCACAGGGTAGGAAACCTAAGTTCCTACTTCTAGCTTTTTGTGGGGGCTTCCCGAGGCGAAGTCAACAGACCCGAGGTCAAAGGTCACACCTTCCCTTGTGAATTTCTCCAGCGAAAAAGACTGCCCCAGCTTGGGGCTCCCTACCTCTTTCTACTGGTTCATACTGAACCCCTTAAGTCAGAGCTTTTATTTCTTAAAAAGTAAGGTTCTGTAAGGCCCAAGTTGGGGGTGGGTTTGCGTCCTGATAGCAGTCACTCAGTCTGTGGGACCTCCATCCACAAGGCACCAAGCACAAAGAAGACCCCAAATTAACCTATAAGCCCCACCTGCCCAAGGACCAGGAAACTTCCTGGAATGCTGGTAGTTGTAGTTCTTAAAAAGTAACAACAAAGCCTCATGGGCAAAGTACAGTGGCCCATGGTTTTGTTCATATAAGCCCCAAACAACTTGTGCCTGAGGGCCACTCCTGGAATATTCCCAGGATGGTCCTGACCAAATTTCATCTTGGTCAGTATTTAATATTTTAAATAAAGCATCCTTCAAATTCGGGCAACTGTGGAACTGGTTTTTCTTCAGCGAATCTCAGGTTTAGCACGTATTGGCTCTCCTTCAAGGCAGGTCTGGATGCTGTCTACAGTTGGACGCGTGGAATCACCAGTGCCATAGTCCTTTCCATCCTGGGCCCCGCATGGTGCATGGGAGCACAAGGGAGAACCCAGGCTGCAGCACTCCTGAGGCGGGCTGAGCTCGCTCAACCATTGGCACTTCTCAGGGTCTGTGTGGCCTTAAGTAAGGGACTAAACCTCTCTGAGCAGTCTCCTCCTCTTCAACAGGGACCAATGAAAGCATTGTCTATGGTTCGAATCTGCCCACACAAAAGTCAGGTTGGCGTTCATCTCCATTAAGAAGCATTAAGAGATCGCCACACTGACATCCAAAGGGGCTGTACCAGCCTGCACTCCCACCAGCAGTGCAGGAGTGTTCCTTTTCTCACATACTCTTTAGCATAAATTGTCAACAGTGTTTTTGATCTTGGCCATTCTTACAGGTATAGGATGGAATCTCAGAGTTGTTTTGATTTGCATTTCTCTGATGGCTAAGAATGTTGAACATTTTCTTAAGAGTCTTCCAGTCATTTTAGATTCCTCTGTTGAGAGTTCTCTGTTTAGGTCTGTACTCCATTTTTTTATTGGATTATTTGT